ATCATCGTCAAGCCTCTAAAACGTGCAAGGCTCTGAAGTGTGAGAACACGTTTTCGCACGCAGGCTTAAGAACTAAACAAAATATAGAGGAAACACTGTGTGCATGGGACCATACTTTTGACATGCTTCTCAAACGCTTTTCTCGTGTATTTCACATGTATATCAAATTTACAAGTAAAAGCTGTGGTCACGCTCTCTCGTGCACTTTCTGCAGTTGTTTAAAATGAATTTGCGGATCCTTATTGCGTACCTCAATGTGAATCCTTCGAGACTTGTTATGGTGAGCTAGTGGCTTAGTGCTAGAGCAAGGAGGTCTGATATTCCATTCCTCGAGAGGGACTCGTAAATTTTCCTGTGTCCCATGCTCGTGACGTGACCAAAAATATATTTCTCTAATTCATTACCGAGCACAAAATTTAATCCATTTCTCATTCTATTAATTTGATAGCACTTAAATGAAAGATTGAAGCCAATTCAAAACAAATACGCTCTAAATCCTACCCTCTTTCTACATATTTTGTGAAATAATAACAAACTTCCCGGATGCTCCTCTTTCGAAAATTTCTTGCCTAAATTATTGAGTAAAGGACTATTTGAATATTGGAATTGCAGCGGAAGACAAGGAAAATAAACACATTGACTTCAGCTTTTAATTAGTTTTGGTTTGGTAGAAAAATCTGGGTGGTACGTCTTTTTCAAAGGAGTTAGTTTACTGTCAGTTTATCTGCAATAGTCGATTCACCATTCACCCGTAAGTCAAACAAAGTTATACTTCGGATATCAGTATGCTGACATAGCTAAATTCTAATTTGACACTAAATACTATTAGTCTTTTTTTCACTCTTATTTCAGAAAAACGTGATTTTTTTGTTAATCTGATCGGCAATGTTGTGTTTGACGAAGATATCTCTTTGTGTTCCTTATGCGTTTGGTCTGTAGAAGCGACGCACTCAGCTGTGCCTCTTTTGCCACTGTCTTGTTCTCACCACATTTTGACGTCATCTGTGACTTATTATTAGACAGACCCTTGGAAACATGAAATCTCTTTAATTATTACATTTTTTACTTAGAAAACACAAGAATAATACAACTACTCACGGTATGTTGCAAATACAATCAGGTGGACAGCCTATAACTACTATTACTTACAATTAAATCTTTTGCTTTCAATACGTTTACAATACTTCGACTACCGACGAATACTTACGACTGCTCACGAAGACATTTTCGCAATATATGACTCTACTTCATAAAATTACACTATTTATTATGCTGACTAGTTTCCCAAAGATGGCAATCAAAAATATTTCAAAAAGAAACATGCGCTATTATAGGTATGACCGCGCATAGCCACATTGGAAAATGACTTTTGTCTGTAACTCAACCTCCAAAACTGGAAGTAATAGCAATTAAGATGAAATACCATTCTTCACAATTTTCCCGCGAGGTTGGTGTGTTTGGGAATTTCTTGCTGTCGAGTTATTATCAATGCACTATTACGTACCATTGCGTTCCGATCTGCGCGTAGTCTGTTGCCGTTAGCTTTGGGAAAATGTCTGCATCTCATCGTTTTGGGCCATCGAAAGCCATACTGGCACATAATAGGGGCACAGCCCCTTTTCCCTTGAGTAAAAAGGGAGTGGCAAGGAGAAATTTGGTCTGTGACATTTGGTTGACAGGTGCAGGTGGGAGCACAAATGGAGCAGAGAAAGAGCCTCAGGACTGGGGAGCACTGGTTGCTGATGGGCGGAAGGAATTGATAAGCTTCAAGCGCTGCCTCTTTTTACGTCATGTTTGACATGTAAGTGAAGTTGTAGCCAACATCTTCACACAGAGGTATTTTTTATCCTTTCACATTTCTTTTCTGCGGTTTTATTCGTTGAAAGAACAGCCACCCGTCATCCTCTCACATTTCCTAACTGGGGTTATTTCCGTTGGATGAACAGGCACTGAGGAATGAGGTGTCATTGAGGTTCCATTCG